TTTCACAAACCACAGCTGTTTACAGAAGTGGATGGCTCATAAATTCCCCACAAAACACGGTGGCGGCCGTGCTGTATTCTCGGTGTGCTCGGTTTTCTTATTCTCCTTGGCCACCACCCTCATACTCTTAATTTTAGCTGTGGTTCATGCGGCCGCAACTTGGACTGCTTTGATCAGACATTCATCTCTGGCCGCCGCTTTAACCACACACTCACCCCGACGCTGTGCAATTCGGCATCATATTCTCTGCTTTAGTGTCCGCAGTTATGGTGACATACTGAGCCCATTTGTGAGATTATTTACGTGAACTGGATCTTATGTTTTGATGTAAAATGCATTATGAGGAAGACATACTTCCAGGACGCCAGAACTATACACATACAGATTGCCGTCGCATGCACATTGCATAGAGTGATACGGCTGGGGTGCACTTGTTTCTTACCGATGTCAAGTAGTGAAAGGATGAGTAGATTATTTAGATAAATGTTATGCGTAGAGAAATATCTAGTAAACCCTATAAATTTCATTTATTTTCAATAACTATTGTTTGACACAAAAATGTTGGGGTGTTACTTTCTAAGCAATCCTTGTGTGCTTGCACATCCATTCTCAATCATATCCTTTGATTATTTACCCCTCCATTCGCATTCTAACCCCCCATCCTCATTCCACACCGCCCACCCACTGCCAAGAAACTCACACAACAGTCTTGAGTTTCAGGTGCTTTCTGTTCAGCAGGCACAACCTCGATTATACTGGCTGCCATGTCCTCTTTTGACACCACCTGCAAAGTTTCATTTTTCATATTGTACCTGGCATGGTGTGGTAGCACGCTAAACCTCGTCACACATTCGATTTACTAATAGGAGCTCTAGCTCGGACTTACAATAGGGTCTTCGCAGAGGTTGTCTGCTTCATTGTGCTTCCCACACTCAGATGGCGTCTCTGAATCATCCTGAGAAAAAAAAAATTGACAATTTGAATCACTGTTGAAATGTAATGTGGGCATGCAGAATTAATACAAGTTAATTAATTAGGTAGCAAAAAGAGACAATGCCAAAACTGCCGCCTTTTTTTAATCGCGTTTTATGATTAATTTAATTGAACAACACTTTGTGAGGAAGTCAAGCGATTCGTGCAGTCAAGCTGGCACATAATGCATACTTCTCTATTTTTACTATCGCACTACTCAAAACCGAGAACCAAAAAAAAAAAAAAAAAAAAGTATACAAATGAGTTTTTATAAGAAATTTGAAATTGTTGCACCGTGGACGTCACACCCCCCCCCCCCCCTCCCTCCCTCCCCCTCTAATCCGAGCTCTCCTTTCTGATCGGTGGCTGTTTTCCCTCCTACTCGCTCGAGCGTTTGAAACTTAACACGCATCAAGAGGCTCTGCAATCGGTCCCCTTGCCGGGCGCCCGGCTGCCTTTTGGCTTCGGAAACTTCTGTGCAAGGGAAGGCTTCTGACAGATGTGAACTTGATGCTTGGGGAAACCAGCGGACGAGATCTGCCACAATTTCGCATTACGCATGTTCACGGGCGCGATAGGAGCCATCGTGTGAGTCACAATTATAACTAAAACAAAAGAACAAAAAATATATATCACAGAATTGCTCACCAGTCTGCGCCTTTTGCACGCTGGTGCTGGTGTGAGATCCAGTTGAAGGGTCGGAACTGAGCCCTCGTCGAGGCGTTTCTTCTTTCTCTCGAACCCCAGATTCTTCGAAACCTTCCACGACGTGAAGGACTGCGCGGAGAAGTGCTCGGAACACACACGATCAAGCTGATGCAGTATCTTCGAGGTAGCGCGCAGTCGAAGGGCTTCCAGCCAGCGACTTCGCACTGGATCCTTGCCAGGTAGACGGTGAAAGGAAACACCCGCATCCCGGTGCGTGCGGGTGCAACCGCGCACGAGACACTTCATCGGAGCCGACAACCTAAAGTGATCGTTTCACCATAGGTTCATTACGGTTAATCGTCTGCACCGTCCCGTCGCCGCACTTCACTGGAACAGTGAAGAGTCTTTCACAGTACTAAAAGAAAATAAGGGTTCCCCTGGCTCCTCTTACTGCTTTTAGTTGACCGGGCGCACAAGCGAAAATACGATGCGCGGTATCTGCACTGGACGGATCACTTGTCGTCTGCTCGCGGCGGTACGTTGCGGACGCCGCTGGGAGGCGCGCATGAGCGACGAGGCGCAGAGACGAGGCGTTGTTTTCGCCCTTTTTGAACTTTAATTTGCAACTTTATTAGCTCTATAAAAACGACTTGTTAGAGAAATAATGACGGTTAACGTGTGATATACTTTATTTCGCTTCAAATTTCCTGGGACGGCTCTCGCCAATCACGAAACCCAGTGAATGTGACGTATCGTGAAAGGGAGCACCGTTATTCGCGCGCATTCGGCACCTCGCGACGCCACCGTCGGAGGAGGTGTTTCCTAGTTGTCAAATTAAAATATGAAGCGCTAATATTTTCGAACTCTTTCGTTTTCCACTGGGTTTCCGGGACCACTAACGTGTAGAAACCGCAAAAAAAAGTCGACGCTCAAATACTGTTGGAGGGCCCCTTTAAAGGGAAGCTACGGAGCTTCTTGGAAAAAATTAGTTAGAAGTGAATTCTAGTGTATTTTTACCCCGTGAACCCGAATACCCAAACCATTTGCTGCGTAAGTATTGTTAACCGCGAGAAAAACGCGAAAGACAGTCGCTGTCCGTGACGTCATCGACGGCTCTTTTGGCTGCCCAAGGCTAGGGAGGCGGGGCTTCAGTCCTATTTTGAAATTGCTCGTATGGCTCTCTGGCGCGTCGTATTGAAATATAATTTTGATATCTGTTATTCTAAAGGCCAAATGAACGCAATTCAAGCGTTTTTTCTCAAATGTAGAAGTGCCCCATCTTCCCAAGGGGTACTCCACAGGTTTTTTTGATTGTCTCCGATTTGCTTGAGATTTTGCTAAACTAACCAACAAACATCGCTAAAATAGTATCCCAAATATTGAGTCGAAATATTGTTTTTCGCGAAGTTATTGAATTTGCAGTTTTGGTCCTCACCGTGTTTTTCAAACTGGAAGTCTCTATTGGCAACAACAAAAAAGTGACGTCAGTGGAAAGCAGGGGTTCACTTTTTCGAAGCAGTTTCATGGTGTCAAATGAATGCTTTGGTAGCTATCTCCCGTATCCGCGCTTCAGCACGGATTAATATGATTGGCATATTGTATTTTTAGACTGCTTGTTCGACTAGCAAGCCTACCTGCCACTGACGTCACGGCACTGAAAAGTGCGCGTATATTTGAATATTTTTTTTGCATCATTTTCATTTGCTGATTTCACAATACCTATGATGAATTTCGCGATACTAAATAGCATACCGGAAAGGGTAAAGGCCGGGGAGTCAGAAAATATAGTTAGTTGAGGTAGCTCAAAAAATCGGTGGAGTAGCCCTTTAAAATCTTTGTTACGAGCCGCCGCAGACTGCCGCCGCGAAGCGGCGTGAACGCATGCTGGCGGGCTGTGGGCGGGCAGCGCGCACCCCAGTGATACACGCGTAACGCAATGTCCCTACAGCGAGCAATTCGCGTAACGAGTTTCGATGAGACGATCGTATCGACGAAACGTGCGTCCATGACAAGTTGTCCACGAAACGAGTTTCGACGAATTGATAGGGACTCCTTTTGGAGTGCTACTACCGCAACTTGTGAGACGAGGCCAAGCAATCGCACTGCACACGTTTTCAAAGTTGGAGACAGAGCTGTCTACGTCATAAACCAGAAAGACAAAACACACAAGGAACTAAAAAACGATAAAACAGACGGTGCATTTGTTCTTCGTTGTAGTTCCTCTTCCCCAGAGTTGCGTCTTCTCGTGCATAAAGACGCTCGTCAAAACGAACCACCTCAGAGAACGGAGCGGTGGCGCCATCTATGCGACATTAAAGACATTACGCTTTCGTTGCATTCGCGCGCATTTTTAAATCTGACAACGTCAATATCCAACAAAAGCCACCACAAAACGGCCTTTTTTTTTTATACTGGTTATTTTTTTTTTAGAAGGAACTACCTAAATATGAAAGTCATGCCAATTATCAATTACAAAGCCCCCGGCGTGTTTTCCCGGCAGGAATGTTGTGGACCAAATAGAAACAAGTATCCATTATACTTTTAATGATAAAAATTAGAGGCCTCTCAGGGACGTGCGGGGGACAATTTTAAGGGCCGATACCGCAAATACCCATCCTTCTTCAGCCTCTAGGAGCAATTGTGCTTTCCATCATACTTCATGACATGCCCAGTGATGGGCACTACTCTACAAACTGGTGCAGCACTGGAACGAGGCTAGCAGTTTCAAATTATTGGACATACGCCAATGCGAATTGGAACTTTAAGTAGTTTAATCGAAGTTCGAGCTTCAGGCATTCAATTGGCCTAATATTATTGAAATCCCAAAGTGTTTCCAAGGGATATTCCAAGTCGAAGAGTCTCGAAAATCTGGGAATGAGGCCGTTGTTCAAATGCCCGCATTATAATGAACATCCGAAAACATGTCAACCTACTTCTGAAGTTAGCATTGCTGTTATATTAGGTTTCATGGAAACTATGTTTGTGTTTTTTTTTTTTTTTTTTTTTTTTTTTTTAGTGACAAAGTAATTGAACATGAAAAGATACGCTAAATTTGATAGCAATATGTAAAAAAAAAAAAAAAAAAAACTTTACATTTTTTGTAGAACTTGTTTCACAACCAGACAATAATTGTTCTGAGAAACTAGATCACCCGTTTAAAGTTGAAACCGTATTCACATCACTTTGTCTCGATTTTTATTTCCTGCTCAAACTCTCTCCCTGCTATAATGCCGGATACAGCAGGATGTTGTATCAATTATTAAACAAATACTCCAAAATTTTTGTAACATGCTGTGGACGGAAGTGTGTTCTTACTTTAGAAATACATCCATTTGTGGGTCCAGCATCTCAAATGACATCACAAATTTATACAGCATGAATCAATACTTCCAAATAACTTTATTAATATTCCAACCCCAAGACACGTGTCTTCAACAGACCTCCATCTCGTAGATGTGCAGGTTTCGTAAGTAGGTCTTAATCACAGCGAGGACCAGTTCATTCTCCGACGACTTGTGATACAGATTGATCAACACGGATGCGGTGGTGCAGTGCACTGCAGGTGATGTGCTGCCATACTTTGCCTGCAATGTTTTCAAAAATTAGCATCTGTAAAGAACGAGTGGACACATGCTCACCAGGTCAGCAAAACATTCTGCCACATCCGAAGGAAGAGGGCTATTTGGTGCAGGGCTAGGGTCCATGGCGCACTTTAACAGCTTCTGCAGAATGAGCCTTTCCAGAAGTGCAGGACACTCCTCAAGCAGGCCAACGATACTGGAGTGGCCAACGGGCACTGCACAAACATGCACTTGAAAGTCATGCTCACTGAAGTCATCGTAACTCAACAGTCAACATGTTAGCAAATCGTACCAACATGAGCCAGTCATACATGCCCAACATGTGGAAATCGGCAAATAGGATGCCTCGACCTACCAGCAAGTATGAGGAGTGCAATACTTCCCTCATACTATTCAGTTAGAAAACATGAAATTGATGACAAACATAATTTCTATCAAATTAGTTCACCAGCTCATCCAGCAACTGTAAGAAAACGTTGGATGAATATGCAGAGCTTGAGCTGAAATGGTGAGAGCCAAAAGTTACCCGTGACCCCGCCCTGAGACTAAAAGCTAATCTAGTGTGAAAAAGAACATGCAGACGAGAGTGTGAGGCGAATGTAATTCAGCATGTTCCTTTTCTGTGGAACGGGATTCACTTTGATGCACCTGGTCTCGGTCTCGGGCTCACGGGTCACGGCATCACCAAAGCCAAGGCCTATCGTGTGGGACGCAACCCAGGAACAACCAACGCCGGCAAGCATGCTGGAAATCTTTCACGGAATGCTATTTGATATAGAAATCCCCAGCGAACATCAATGTGGGAATAGTAATGATCAGAGCTTAATCTTTACACTGGATGGCCTGGATTTGCAGATTCCAGCTTAGATGAAGCTGGCGCCGTTCCTGGTAACACTCTGGAAAGATGGATCCCTCGCGGACCAACGGGCAGACTGTTTTCGAGCGGTAGTCAGGGAATTCGGATCTACACTCTCAATCATAACTTGGGGCCACTCTGGCACTGCAAGCTTTCTTTCCTGTACACATTGATCACCTTTGACCGTGGTACAGAGATCTACATTGAACATTTCGAATGTCTGACAAATTTGACGGAACTCTTTCCGCCCCCTCTTGGCAGCATGCCACGATGGCCTCGGACAATCTGCCCTGAAATTTGGAAACCACCCCTGTAAATAACTGCTACAACGAAGACCCAAGGGTGGTCACTTCGTGCAAACTGTACCGATGAACTGCGCGACTGCTGCTCACCTGAACTGATCCAGTCGGCACAGGCAGAGATTAGCCGTGAGCTATCGGTTTCCCCGACAGTGCCACAGGACGTCAGAGAGGCCATGACATGCACGAGTTCTGTCCCAAGAGGAGCCAAAGTCACCCCTTTCTGGCACAGGGCTCGCTCAGCAGCGAGCAGCACGAGCGCACACAGTGCACTCTTGGGCCGCTTGCCTAGACCTACTTGCGTTCGCAGATACTTGGCCAGCTGGGAAAGGATGCCAAAGGATAACACTCGGCTCGATCTGCCAGCTGGACACACAACTCGAAACACAAATGTACATCAATCTAAGCAGTTATGCAAAGTGCGGTGGGCAACGACTGCACAGTGTATGTATGGCTCTGTGCGACTGCAAAATCTTTTGTATGCCATTTTGTTTTTACTGTTACACGGAGCTGTAGGTTCTGCACACCTGACGTCCTTGCACTGTGAATGGCAGTTTAAGGCGCTCATTATGCTTAACAAAACTAAAAAGAACTGCACATATCGGTGTCTACAGGGCTTCTTACCCTCTTGGATCTATTGGCAGTCCTGGATCATCTTTGTCCTATTTAGCTTCTTTTTCTTTCTTTCCGCATCTCTCGGCATACGTCCTAATAATCGAGCAATTCATAATTTGCCGTTTGCTTTGGATGCTCAGATTTTGATGTTCATTATCACTTTTTCTTATTTTCTTTTCATAATGCATAATTCATAATGAATGATTCATAAAAAAACTTGGGGGACGCTTAAGCTTTGCCTTTAAAGGGCAACTCCGCTTCATTTTTGGTTTTGAAAAAACAATGCAGTCCTCTTCAGTATCGCCTAGGAAGACCACACGTCAAATATTACGACGCAGTTCTGTCTAAATGTTTCTTAAACGGTCCGGCAAACTTTGCAACTCGCCAAGTTGCCGAAATCGGCTGACTTGAGCGGGAGAATTCAGGCGCAACCAACAGCGCAGTCAAGGCTACGGCATGGGCGGAGCCAACATTGAGCTAAACGCCATCTACATGGCCCCCTTTTGCTTGTTTTCACTTCTTCGGGCGAGCGTAGCGCATGACGTCAGCAACGTTGCCTCTCGGCGCCCAGCAGTGTCCACGTGATTGGCGTAACGCGCCTGCGCAGCGCGTTTCTTGGGAGCCGTCCGGCCGCCCGCCGTGGTCCCGCCGTTACCGCCGTCTTCCGCGTCACAACCGCCGTCGTCGTCTCACCGATTGTGATTATTGTCTCTCGGAGTTTCGTCCACACTACGGACACCACGTGTGCGCACACTTATGCCGCAGTTGTGCAGACGTCGTCGAATGCCGTAGACACCAAAACGTGGCGAAGAGTGCGGTGCAGACGACACTCGTGCCTGCCACACGCCCGCCCCAATCCCGCCCGTCGTTGGGCCGAGGATCACGTGACATCTCGTACCACGTGATGGCCATGCACTTGGCGACCCGAGGCCAATGTTGCCGGGCGGTGCCGAAGTTTCGGTTTCGATTTCCGCTCGTGTTTAAAATCAGATTTAAAATATATATCCCATTTTTCGCGAAGCAAACGACGTAATGTGTTTTACTAGGGCTTTTTAATTCGAAATCAATCATTATCCCGAAATCTTCGGAATTGAGCGGAGTTGCCCTTTAAGAGTGGATTGCGATAGAGTTATCGGGCCCCATTCGCAAAGCATTCGCATTTAAACGTGCCCTCATTTCCAAACCACGCAAGCGTGTGAGCGTGCTCTAATCTGTAGCATCACCTGTCACGTGATGTCACATGACGTCATGTCACGGGACGCATGGCATCGCACGTGGCTGTTACGTCATGACCCTATTGATTTGCTAAATTTAGCTGAAAATTTCCATCTAAATTTGGCGGGAAAATTTTCCGCTTGATTTGGCGGGAAAGATTTCCGCTAAATTTGGCGAAAAGGTTTTCCTCTAAATTTAGCGGTTAATTTTTCCGCCAAATTGAGCGGGTCAGTGGGGTCATGACGTCACAGTCACGTTTGACGTCACGCGCGATGTCACACGTGGCTGTGCAGGTTGCATTACAAGAATTTTTAGTCCCACCGACGCGGGATTTTCTGTGACACAAGCGCCTAAACACTATCGCATCAAAAAGGGAACATCTTCGTTAGACAGAGTCGGCAGCAATTCCCGAAGCATCGAGACCATATAGTAGAACAGGTAATCCTAATATCCCACAGTTGATGGTTAAAACTATTATGATCTTGATCCCTATTACAGCTACCATCGGAAGAGAGCAGAAGCCGATAAATCGATTCAGTAAAACAGTTATAGTCACTGAGAGGATGAGAACAACAGGAAGGTCCTCCGACTGCCCCGCCTCCGGGGCGAGCTTCCTACATTCGATAACGCAGTGGCGTCTTGTGAGCCTCAAGCGTGCAGGCAAAGCCACAGCAGGGAGAAAGGCAATAGGCACGTCATTCAAAAAAGACACCCCGCAGCTCTCATCCTGTCAGTGCCTGTAGTATACTAAAAGTAAAAGAGAAACAACTAACAATAATAATAGTATAACAATCCTCTTACTTCAGGCAGAAAAACAGGGCTACTGATGATGCGTCCCTCCGCAGGATTTGTAGAGTTGCTCAAACAGTTGTGCAGAATCCGCTGGAGAAGAAAGAAGCCAGCCCAAGTGCGGGTTGTTAGAAGGGCACTTAAAAATTATTCTAAACGAATCGGGGATATTCATTATACCGTAAATTACTTTATTTTCGCAGTCTCAATGTTTCGCTAATTTTGCGGAATGTGTGATTCAAGAATATTTTGCGGGCACAAAATTTCGCAATTTGGAGCACTTTCCATGGCGGCGCAGCGGCCCAGCCGCCGATAAGAGGGAGCCCCTGGCCACTGAGCCAGCAGAGTCCGCATGGGCGGACTCCGGAGTGGCTGCACGGCCGAGCTCAGAGCGGCGTTGCCACTTCACGAGAGCAAGCGCTCGGCCGTCAGAAGGCGGAAGCGAATCGCGATTCAGAACGACTTAGGTGGCAAAAGGACGAGGCCCTTCGACATTGCAAAACGGAAGCAATACTTCGCAGGCGGCATGCTTTCGCATTCACAACTCATAAGAAGTGCTTAGGTGTTCTTGGACTTTTTAAACCAGCTCGCCTTCATTCTAGTCCGCAGCTTGTACAATGGCAAAGAAGCATCTGGCTCGGTGACATATATGTGTTGTGCCACTTTAAAGGGGCCGTGCAACGATATTGGGTAGGAATGTTTCACTTTACACCAGCTTACTGGCACTAGTCTGACCTAAGAATACTCGAACGCAATGCCATTGACCAAGAAGCATCTTCATCGCGATGGTATTCCAAGGATAAAAGCGAACCTTATGGTTTCAGTCTCTCCTTTGCAAAAATTGATGACGTAGTTGTGGGGACAACGCCAACAATGCGATTCCCGGGAACACACCATCAAGCTTTGCAAACCCCACTGTGACAATATTTAAATCAGGGTGTCGAACCGGAACCAAACCGAACCGAAAACCGGAACCGAACCGGTATTTTTTCCGGAACTGAACCCGAACCGTTATATTGTTATCGCGATGAACCCGAACCGGAACTGAACCGAAAAAAAAATAATGGTTACCGGCTCATGTCAAAACGGTTCGGCCACGCGTTGTTGACAATGAATGTGCTATCAATGCCATTTGTTTTTTAAGTGCCGTCAACTGACACACACCTCGCTTACATATTTTTCTTCTCCACTCAGTCTTAGGAATATAAACGCTGCATCCATGAATCTTGACAAACGCTGCATCCATGAATCTTGACATAGGAACCAGTATTGCGCTGGTCGTGGTTTGCACGGAAGAAAAAGAATTGAAAGGCTGTGCAAAAAAAAAAAAAAAATTGCGTCACGGGATTTTATTTTTCTACAATCTCGTAAATTCTAAATGCTACTGTGTGCTCATTTCATAACACGTTTCTAGAACGCGCGAGTTCTTGAAGCTTGCTTCCATTGGAATGAGAAAAGAAAAGGCTGTGGAGTTTGATAATAATGCATCCGGTTTCGTATAGGCACTTAAAAGCTAACATATTTGTGAGACAGCGAACTCTTCTATTTTAATATTTATCCTATTACGTCCTTCTGGCGTTGCGTTCGGTGAAGTGTTTTTCATATTCCGTATCTTGTTTAATGAAAACTTCTTTAAGGGTCTAATTTGAGTTACCGAAGGCTAGTTCAAATAAAGAAAGCTGTATTTTCTCCCCACTGTTCCTTCAATCGCTTACACGCCGAGGTGGCGGGATAGTTAGCGAGTTCTACTTGTAAGTGGGTTTGTAAGGAGGTCGCGGATTTTACAGCTACTGCGTCGGACCCAATTAGATGAAGTCCGAATGCGTAAACGTCGGTGAGGTAACCTTTGAGTGCACATAAAGAAACCATTCCTGGTAGAAATCCCTGAGCCTTACACTACGATGTATCCCGTTTCGTATGTGCTGATTTCAGTTGTTTTATTTGTAATTTATTTTGATGTTGCAATTTGTAATTTATAATTTCCGAACCGGTTCGCGAACCGGTTCAGCGCCCCGAACCGGTTCGCGAACCGGTTCGTGGATGGAATTAATCGAACCGGAACTGAACCGGAACAAAATAAATTTACCTGAACCTGAACCGTAACCGAACCCGTATTTTTTTCGGTTCGACACACTGATTTAAATGCAGCTCATTCAAAGGACACAAGCACTCCATAGGCATTCATTTTTGGCTCTTGACAATCCAACCCTTGGCGTGCATTCGTGTAGAGAGGCGCCCAGTCGCTGAGATGATGGGAATAGTTGAAGCTTAAAGGGGTACAGAAATGAAATGACGTGGCCACGACTTCTCTACCTCTCGCTTTGAAATCGGCCAACGAGAAGTGCAGTACGTATTACGCTCGTGACATCAAGGGCCTCTGCACGGCCAAGGGTACTGCAGTTGTGAGCGTTGCCGCTTGGTGGCGCCAACGTGTTACAATCTCGCCTAGCAGTAATATACGAGGACTCTACGCTCTATGGCCTATACACGGGGGCGTAGCCAAGGGGGGAACTTATGGGGCTTCAGCCCCCTTCCCCCTTTCCCTCCCTCCCTCCCTTCCCCCCCCCCCCCCCCCCATATTCCAACTGACCCTACAATACAGACATGCATTCTGACCCCCCTCCCCCTCTCCGCACTCCAAGTCATGGACATCCCAGGCATCCCACCCTCCCCTCCCCCCGAAAAAAAGTTCCTGGCTACGCCACTGCTTATACATAGCTTGCCTGTCACATCATTCAAGGCCATTCTGGTATTTGATGTGCCACGAGAGCTTGGTTCACCGTGTTAGTTTCACACCAGAGATTGAGGGAACCAGTAGGTTAAGTAGAAAGAACCGTCAGTACCCAGCAATGGCAACACCTGCAAGGTGCGTATATAAGGTACTCACTGGGTGCAATATTGGAGCGCGTTAGTCACGGCACATCCTGGGAGGGGGGTTGGGGGTAGTGGCATGGTTGGCCTGGCAAAGGTCCCCGCATCCTCAGATCAAGCTTCTACATGTCGTCTAGTGGCATAACCAAGTGGGGGAGCTTATGGGGCTCCCCCAAAATCCAGCCGACCTTATAATATGCACATGCATTTTGATCCCTCCTTTCCCCCCCTCCGCACCCCAAGTCATGGACATCCCACAGCCCCCCCCCCCCCCCCCCCCCATTTCCTTCCTCAAAAAAGAATTCCTGGCAATGCCACTGATGCTGTCTGTGAAAAATGGTCATCTTGATGGCGTGGAATGTATGTTGTGAAAGCACTGTAAAAGCTTTAACATATACAATGTAGTAAACTCATTAGCATTCTCCACCAAGTCACATTCAGGACTAAGTAAATCCACGAGCGAGCCATCCTGCCACGAACTAGCGCTGCTTCTTAGGAACTTATGACATGGCGGCATTTTAAGATTGTGCCACCAGGCACAAACTTAAATTCTATTAATTTGTTTTAAAATTAGTTTCCTTGACTTTTCCGCCAGCAGCCCAGAAACACTAGCCTAGACTAGTGTTTTTTGGCTACCGCCACAACATAGACCCCATCTAAGCAAAAAAACAAGAGCAACCAATTTCATTTCCGTACCCATTTAAGAAATGTGTGCTATGTTAAAAACGTTGGAGGCATATAATCAGCTCCAGATCACATGCCCTTTTTTTCTGTCTGCGAGCTGAGGGTGTAAACGGTGTTTGTTTTACAGCAAAGCTGTTTATGGCTCAGGTTCTGCAGATTTTTCGTATGCAAGGACCAAAAACTCTATGCTTGCACCGCACATGTCAGCATCTAGAGTGGTTGGTAACTGTTCTAAACCAAAAGCCTAAAACGAATGCCATCTTGCACGCACATTCTTCAACACTTTATTTTGGTTATCTACTTCGAATCTTTCATACGGGGAAGGCATGCACGTGCAGCGCGTGGAACACTCTTCCCTGCATTCTCCTTGAAGCCTGAATAATTTAGTAATTTTCATGTGCGTGACCACAAACCCTACGCTTGCACCGCCCTCTTTTTGTCGTCATTCCAAGCACTTGTGTGCCTAGTTTCCTTTCCTTCCACCCTCCCGGGGTGGCAATCCTGTCGTGTGTGTCTACTTTCCTTCGGGTGGCGGTACCGTTGTGTGTGTCTAGCTTCCTCCAGCTCCTCGGGGGCGGCAGTAGTCGTCCACGTGAATGTATATAAAAAAAAAACGGAAAGACAAGTTGCCGTTCTTCATTTTCAATTTTACTTCTCTCGTCGTGATGGGGAGGCCGCGTATAGTCCGGACTCCCAAAGAGCAACACGCCTACGAAGAGCAATGGCGGGAACAGCAACGAGAATGTCCGTGGTGGCGGCGGTGGGCGGCCTGTTTGTGTGCGTGTACCTTTCATCACGATAACCACCGATCAAGACAATGAATGTGTTCATACCTTTGTTCAGAATTCTGTGTCGTGTTTGTGTCGAGTGCTGGACGTCTTTGCTGGTCATCCCCCTTCAAAGGGTGGAATGGCTCCCAATTTTATGATTTTTTTCTACGGCTGCCATTGCGTAAAGAAGAAAAAAAATGCTTCATAGGCTATACATGTCAAGGAATTATTCTAAGCTGTATTTATTGAAAGTACGAAAATAGTTGTCGCCCCTTAAAATCGTGCGATGTTCACCAATCCTCAATATGCGAGCCTCCAGACAACACTCACGACAGTCCACTGTTGCACCGCCGTCGAGTTCTCGGCGACGCCCGACGTGTACAACCAGCACAGGCAGCTCCAGAACGCTTGTCGAGCATCGTCGGAAAGATGATGAAGAACCCCGGGTTTCGAGACTCGCTTCAAGGTGGAAACGGCGTCCGGCAATTTAATCGGTATCTCGTGCACCGACGTCTGCAATTGACAAGGCGTTTTAAAATGGGACCATATTCTCGACGGATTTAGTGGCACTCAGTGAACTCACCAGCTTGCGAAGAGAGGATTCCAAAGCGGGAAGTGTCATGTTCAAGCGTTCGTAGTACGTGTCGGGATTGTCGTGCTTTTCACCGTTTCCAGAAAGCTTAGAGTGCGGCTTAGAGCTCATAGCCCACTCGTATAAGTGCATACGATGCGTATCAGCGGCTCTTCGAGCCTCGCTACTCGAAAACAACAAAATCAATCAAAATTAGAACCGCACCCTACACGCCAGCGACCGCGCAAAAATATGAACGATAAGCCACGTGACCGGACCGACCGGACCAACACACGACATATTTACAGACAAGCGCCTGTTTTGACGAAATAGCGAATAGGTCTGGCAACGTGCAGTTGACGGCTTTGTCAAGGAAGAGAAAAAGAATCCAATGCGATCCAATCCAAGCATTGCATGTGTGTTTGTTTACTCGAAGTTTGTTTCACTGACGTTGTCCAGTGATTCCAGGCATGCACCGAAAGTGAAATCCCCCCCCTTCTCGCACCCCTAGCAGGTAATTAATGCGATATATTTAATCAGAATATTTCAAAACAAGGTCGCTTCTAGGTCGCTGAAAGGACAGTGGTTTCAGTCGTCGCGGCCTCTTTCAGAATGGATTTCTACGACACGGATCTGGACGTCGACGACGGCTTGTCCGATTCCATGTACTACACGGACGAGCCGGAATTCACTTTGGCCGACCTGTACACAAACTGCCTGGTTCCGACGCTGCGCGACGGCATCGGCGCGGCCGCCGTCCTTTTACCGACTTGCATCGTCTTCAGGCTCGTCGTCCATGCAAGTGAGCTGCCGACCGCCTGTGACACTAAATTTCCTGAAAGCACCGGTTGTCTCGTCCTGCTTGTTCGTTGTATCACCATGTTTTGTACTCCCCTACGCGAGGTGGTACTGTATGAATGTGGTTCATAATATGGAGGCGGCAGGCTTTTGCTTGTTTTGGCGGGGTGCCTGCCAGCCACGATGATAGACGCTTACCGTGACCATACGCCCGTTAACGTAAGGAAGAGATGGGAGCTAAAAGGGGACCAAGTGCTCGCTCCTCTACGTCGAAATCCGAGTAAGGAAGCAGACAAAAAAATAGCCACCTGCATATGCCTGGTGAACTTATTTCACTTATTTCGTCACCATGCTATGTCTGTTGTGCATATGCTGTGCTGTGCAGAACACTGGGCGAGGTCAATTTAGTGAACATCAACTGCCAAAATAAGACAGAAGTATTTATTTCGTTAGCTGGAGCCAATTGAAGCACTTTATTGCAAGTATCGCAATGCTGTAGAAAGGCTAAACTAGAATCTTTTAGCCATGACCTGTCATATTCTGGACTTCCACAAAAAAAAAAAAAAAAAAAAGAGCTTTGAGGCACAGACCCCTGCCGCAGCATTTCGTCATGACTGTACAGTGCCATTTAAAAAGACCTTTGCTTCCGAGAGAGTCTATATTGTCGCATGCATGGCAGAGAGGGGACGTTGTTTCCTCTTGCCCCTCACCTCCACCAGAAATGTTGCGGACGGAAACAGATTGACAAGTGTAAAACTGAAAGAAATGTTTCATCAGCAAACTTGTGCCAGAAACTAAAGAAAGTAGCAGCGAACATCGAAGGCGGCAGCAGCAAGCGTCGAGATGTCAGTTTGACAGCTGGCTGGTGCAAGAGTCCGAGATTGAGTCTGCAAAGCCATGCTGGACTCCTTAAAAAAAAAAAAAAAATCTGCTTTACTTGGGGTGAGAGTAAGCATGAACCTTCTAGAAGTATGGAGGAGCATTCTCTCTCGGTCATGCATGCTGCAATATCACTAAGCACAAAACTTCAGTGGTTGGGCCTATGGGTCACAGTTAGGACTCCGTGTTTTCAGAGTTAATTTTTCGTGAAACTCAGAGGGTGTTTTTTGGAATTTATTTCTTAGCAAAAATTCATTGTTTATCGGAGTTTATTTTTCGTAAATCCCCAATTCTTTGAAATTTGGAGATTAATTTCGCAGTGTTTCCTATTGAAAAATAATAAAAATTAACCAGATGCAAACATATGCCAAATAAAAAATAAAATGCGCTTGTATCAATTAAAATTTATTTAGTTGAATTTGGCATTGGTGTCATTGGCAATACTAATTTTTCCCATGACAGAAGTTATACACAAGTGTGGCTTCGATAAACGTCGATACCTTAAAATCAATAAACTGCCGGAGGTAGCCACAAGGAAGCTCGTAGTCATCCCATCAATCTGTCCCGCAATTGTGCTAGGTGGAGTGGTTAAGGATGTAATAGAGAAGTTTTAACTGCCCCTCTTCTCTATACTATACAATCTCTATGGTCCATAGCTTCACTGTTAACCCCAGAAACATACCCTCTCCTTTCTCTAAATCTCAAATCCCATGGCCCCAAAAAACCAAAAGCGTGGCTTTTGTCGTGACACGAATGGGACAATGACCTGTTTTCCTGAACCAACCTTGACGAGACAAGCCGTAAGACCCCCTTTTGACAACGGTTCGAGGCTTGAAAGAAAATTATGGTGTCAATTTCCCACGACCATTAAACCTGCGCTGCTCAAATTGTAAAAAAAAATATATATATATACATCTTCTTTTTTTTTTGCTGTGGGGGGGGGAGGGGGGGGTGGCATGGGCAGTAACAATTGGGAGTTGACGGATAAATCCGAATTGACAAAAATTTTACTGGCGGGTGTTTTCAGGAGTTTTTCGGATTTATCCAAAAACACGGAGCCCTAGTCACAGTCTGCCATAAAGAGACATTTTATGCAGCTTACAGCTCAGTCTTCCTCTCATTGAAGTTCTTGGGAGCTTTCCGGCATGCTACTCAAGCAACTTGAAGCCCTTCTAAAGCACAGCTCTGAGGCGCCCGTTTCCGGCTTGAGCGGCGTCGCCATCGGTGTAACCGCTAGCCCTGCCCCCCCCCCCCCCCAAGGATCTCGGGAGGATCTCGGGTTCCTTCGGGAGGACCTTGGGTACCTTCAGTGACCTCGAGGAGGGAAGTTACGTGACCCCCTCCCCCCCCCCTCCGAGGTCACGTGACCCCCCCCCTCCCGAGGTCGCATAACCTCCCCCCCCCCCCCCTTCTCCGAGGTCACGTGAGCCCCCTCCCTTCCCCCTCAGTACCCTTCCCTCCTCCTCCTCAAGAGCTGTGCTCTAATTCGGCGTAACAGGGAGTTGTAAACGGCTTTCACTTTTTGTCTGTTCTCTCCCCTCAGATATCCTGCCAAGGAATGGAGTCCATATCCTCTCTGCCCTGGCCGGCATCTGCTGCCTCTACCATTTCTTTGCGGGGCTTGCGAGTTACGTTGCCAGCTTTGCCATGTTTGGCATTGCCGTCCTCTTGTCTGTAGACCTCTGCGTCAGGAGGCTCAGAGGGCTAATCTGCTCTGCTGCCTGCATCGCCTTTGTGGTCGTCTGGTGAGCCTGACTTGTTTTCACCGTTGAGTGATTCATTTACTCCTTATTCATTATGATTGATTTGTCCTCTTGTAGCTGTGACTTCATGCTAACTTGCCACTGCTTTTTTGTTCCAGTGAACTGTACCTCGTGGATGCTACGTCCTGGCACAGAGTTCGAGGTAAAGCACTTGACAGAACATTAGAAAGGGCTCTGACAAACGCTCAAGAAAAACAGATTTAGCGCATTGATTAAAAACAATATGAGAGATGAGAACCCAAGGCAGTCACTGAAAGCTGGAGATGGTCTTTCTGTGGCCTTCACTTTTTGTGCTGTTTTTCCTAACTTCGAAAGTCCTTAGCCAACTAGCGTAAATGTACACTTAAATTTTGATTTTGTAAAGAGGCCTATTGTTTTCTGGTTCATCGAGAAAGGTGTCAGCCAAAAATGTCATGCCAGCAGTCTTCAATGTAGCCATCTTTATTTGCCATCAGTCCCCCCCCCCCCCACTTCCTCCACTACCCTGGAAGAAGCAGCAGAACAACTCCGAGTAGGGACTTGCAGCCCTTGCTCAATGTCCAAGGCTTCAGTAATTCCAAGGAATTGTCCAAGTATGTTATGTGTCATTTGGTATGCAGGACCGCAGATGATCATTGCCATGAAACTGATCTCTCTGGCTTTGGACGTCGACAGCGGTAGCTACAAGCTGCCACCGCTGTTGCACATCCTGGGCTATGTGTTCCACGTGGGAACCTCGATTTTTGGTCCCTGGGTCGGCTTTTCAGACTACGATGCCAGCATCGATGCAGGTCCTGTAGTAAGTATGATGTTTCTGTTGGCATGCCTCTTTGAGACATATTTAATTTCTCTCACCTGGAATTATTTTTGTGCTGGGAAATACAGGTAGGTGTCAAGACCAGCCCACAAAAATGGTCCCTACATATTGGTCTGCCCCCACGAGTGTCGAATGCTTGCTAATGGCCATGTAATGTAGGGTGTTCATCGGAAAGTGAGTCATATATCTCGATGCTCCAATTTGTGTAGGAGGATGTTGAAAGGTAGATGAAACTCCCGAGAGCAGACAGAACTTTCCCTCAAACTTGCAACAAGACCCCATCTGTCAGTAGGTTTTTATGGATGACCCTGTTTGTCACGGCTGTGTCGATAGATGTTGCATATTTTGCTGTGTTATTGAATAGATTCTTCTATTGACACATTCCTGTGTCACTTTGTCCTTTCCTTCATCAAATACACATTGCTTTATTTTGTGAATGACTTCAGTGATATAGCTCTTCTTTAATAAAACTGCATCTTCAAAGATATCTCCCTTTAATTTCAAGCCCAAGCTTTTCTCTTACGGCAACACACTATCCAGCTGTCCCAACAGTTCAAACTTTTGACTACTAGCCTGCCACGATTTAATGGGACAATAAAGATTCCTCCACATGTATTGTGTTTCTAAAGTTCTAGAGTATGGTTTGTGGCACAAAAACCTCCCTGGGCTTGTGCAGCAATTTTTATTTGTTTATTAATTTTTTTTATTTATTGTGGCCTACCAACAGGCATGGGTTTATAAAGGTAGCAAGCAAGAACACACTATAACGCTGCAAGAACACACTATAACAAGAGTGGAATGCTCCTCTTGAACAACAAGAGGTCATCACTGAAAATGTCGATAAACAATGTGTCAAGATGATTAAAGAAGTTTCAAATGCGAACTGGCGAAGGCAAACAATACATGGGGTTAATGGCAACTGTGCGATTGCAGCGAACGTGAATCTGGATGTGAGATACGATAATTGAGCAGTCATAATACGCTTGCAAGGACTTGAACAAAAATATTAGGTCACCACTATATGTTGGGACAGGATTCATAGCAGGCTATGTTCAGAAGATGCCCATGGCATTTAGGCTAGAAGCAGTTTTTGATGAAGTTGTCTTGTTTCAGGACGTTTTGTGGAGCCTGTCTGTGGGCCGCTGCTTCCTGCTGTCATACATGAGCCTTACAGTGTCCACCTGCTGGGCTTCTTGGCTGCTGCCCTTCGGAGACTTCAGGTGCGCATCGCCTACCAGCAGAGAGACCCCGAACCCCAAATGTCCCCTCTGCCTACACCACTGATGCTTTTCAACTGGATGCTAATGTGGGGGAGAGTGTGGTCTGCACCCTCTGGGCATCTTATTTGCTGGTCGGTCTGTCGTAAGTGCTTTGTTGTGCATTGCAGGTGGCCGGCTGCCTATAGGGATGCCATGTCCTTCCGCTTCAGCCACTACTTCATCTCCTTCCTGTCGGAAACAACTGCGGTGGCCTCTGGCATCACTCAGGCTGGTTCCCTGTGAGTTGAGGCTATGTCCCACCTTACTTGGTTCCCCATTCACTACCACTGGCCGCAGTTCATTGGTACAGTGTCTCACTCCTACGGGAGGGCCGCATTGAGAGAAGTTTTGGTTTTAATGCGAAAGCATTAACTGTCTCATGAAGCGAAAGAGCCAAATGACTATTTCACACCACTTCGATTCCTTCGGCTAGCACGCGTCCACAGCCTGGGGCACCATTTACATTGCTGCGATCCCCATTGGCTAGCCAGCGACGACCAGGCACCCATTCGCCGGACACGCAGCGCCAGTCAGCGCGCCAGCAGCGAAAGTTGAAAGCCTGTCTTGTCTGTTTGTCTTCAATTTCCCTCTTTCCTTATCGTAAATTAGAAGCCAGCACGCTCAACCACCTACAGCAAGATTGATGTACATGCTTTCACATTCACAACTCATAAGAATGCTTAGGTGTACTATCGGGGAAAAATGAAATACGAACAGAGGAGCGCGTGGCTCGCGGTACAGGTTGCGCCGCCTGGAAGTGAACCTAGGAGCGAGCGTGCGTGGCCTACTCCGACGTGTTCACGCCCCTCCCTCTGTGCTCCCCATGCTTCAGCAGTGCGCCTCTTAGTGCGCTGAAAGCTATCACCGCTATCTTTGCTGGCTCAGCGCTGCAAAGAAGCTTGCCGCACTCGCCGAGCAGGCAAAGATAGCGGTGACAGCTTTCAGCGCACTGAGAGGCGCACTGCCGAAGCTGGGGGAGCGCCAATCGAGGGGCGTGAACACATCGGAGTAGGCCACGCACCCTCGCCCCTAGGTTCACTTCCAGGTGGTGCAGCCTGTACCGCGAGCCACGCGCTCCTGTGTTCGCATTTCATTTTTCCCCGATAGTACCTCAGTCTTTTTTGTGAAGCAACACTGCTAGAAAAATATTTGATGTTTTCAGAAAACAAATGAAGAACCAGCCTTTCTTAGCACTTCTTGTTGCGAAAGCGCTAATTGGCCAAACCTTCTGGAATTATGTGCAGTTGTTTTTTTAACATCAAAGCTACGAAGGATGCAAATAATTTGTTGACTGCTTGAAACAAATGTAGAGATATGGTAATTACATTATTTATTTAGATATAATGTTCAGCTAAAGAATTGTTTTTGTTAGTATTCAAGTTATAAATCTATTCAGATTGGTACTGCATCACCACATATATGGCTAAAATGGAGAAAGGAGGAAAAAGTGAATTAGTACTGCCCAGGCGAAAATTTTCAACTGGGACCAATTGGTCCCAGTTGCAACTGGTTTATGGAACAATTGCCAGTTGAAACTGGTCCCAGTTGGAGTTGTCCAACTGGTCCCAGTTCGAGTTGGTCCCAGCTGGAATTGGTCCCAGTTACAACTGGTCCCAGTTGGAGTTGGTCCCAGTTACCGCTGGTACCAACTCCAGCAACAGTGAAACACGGCACAAAATGGAAGGTTGACAAGACTTTATTGTCAAAAACTTGGAGACGTTAGTGAAGACGTCTTCAGCTTCTCTCCCCATCGCATGAAGAAAGGTGCTCACCCGTGATCCCACGTTGCGCAGGTGAAGTCCTGATAGGATGCGGTAGCGCTCCCACCTTGCAATCTCTGTCACAATAGTCGAACATCTTCGAGGTAGACCTCCCGCCATTTTCGCCATTGTGCTCTCCGCGGCGTTTTCTCCCGTCCGGTCTTTCCTGGGTGCCCTCCAATCGCTAAACTGCATCTTTCCATCCTCGAAGTTCACCGCCGCCACCATGATGTGTTTACAGTTAGGTCCAAAGAAGCGCAGCTGTAGTTTTGACATTTTCATAACCACGCCAACTTGAGCAATGGTGACCCTTCTCTACCGCGTCCGTCCGACTCCGGCATCAGCATAGGCAGCGCCCTCTGTCGACAGCGCATACCGCTATTCCGCACCCACGTGCCATGGCGGCCGGCTAGCTCTGATTGGCCAAAAGATAAATTTATTTGTTAAAAGAAAAAAGAAAAAAATGCTGTAGGTGTTTAAATAAATGTTTTAATATAATTTAATGATGCACTAAATGTTCATTTAGGTGAACACATTGTCACTAATTATATTTTCCAATTAAAAAAATTATTTAGTTAATTAAAATTTTTATATTATTTTTAGAAATATATAAATGTAGCCAGTAATTAAAAATTTCCCTGTTCGTATAAATCTAAAAATTTAAGTGTTTTTAGTTTTCTTCATTAGCAAAGGTCAATTCACCCCCAACTTGTCCAAATTGTTGCCCCGTGTGAACTGGGAACGTGAAAGGCATTTGAAGTCCGACTGGGAATCGCTCCAACCAGTTACTTTCCTAACTGGTTCCAGTTCACTCCATTCCCAACTGGGAGTCAAACCAGTTGACTCCCAACTGGGAATGGTTCAAACCAGTTGACCCCTCAGCTGGTCCCAGTTGGACTCCTATTGGTCCCAGTTCATTCCCAGTTGGTACCAGTTAGTCCCAGTTGAAACCAGTTGAGGTGCCAACTGGTCCCAGTTAGAAATTTTCGCTTGGGTGTCTAATTCCACTACTCGAGCGTACGCTGCCTTGACGAAATTTCCACGGCAACAAAGTATTTTCGATTCCCCGTCGGTTGTCTATAAAAGATGGTGTATAAACATTCTCTCCACAACGAGCAACTTTACGAACGCCACTTTGCTTTCAACAAATTTTGTTGAAGAAAACTAAGCTCGCTCATCTAATTTACAAACTAAAGAAATATTCTATCATCTTTCCATTTAATATTGCAGCTTGTGGTCTCGCCAAACAAACAGAGAGAGCTCAGATGCCTCGAAAACTACTGCTTGGAGGCTGGAAACATTGTAATTTGATTTAATTTTTTGTAATATAAGCAGCGTTGCCAAGCGCTAGCTGAAAAGTTCCAACAATCAAACATTGCTGACACTGACCTGGAAGATCTACCATTCTGCCGGGGGAAAAGCACAGCAGCAGATGCGTTTTTGCTGCCCCCAGTATACACGATTACAAAGGGCACCTTGCCGCCACCATGTTGCTGCTTGTGTAAGGAAGCACATGCAATTGCGAGTCTGCCACGGTCATCCTCAAGCACATGCTGCACCTGCTTGCACTCACGGGGCACCAGTCGGGACGACATGCTTGCAAACATGTACACATCCATGCGTCGACCCATTTTCTTCAAAAGTGACCGTTGCTTTGGATCCAAGATCACGGACTATCGCAACGGTGCGCCAGAGTACCATGAAGCAACGGAAGTAGCTGGAGAGTCACCCTGTCGCCAAACGTGATTTCCACTAGCGAAGAAAGACCAAAAATTGCCAATTTAGCAAAACGTAGCTATCAGTGGAAATCCTGGCAGGAAAGGTTGCTTGATGTCAGTGACAAGGTATCGGTGTATTTCGCTAGACCTCCAAAGCCTCCGATCTCTCTGTAAAGGTGACAAATATAAGCAACCCTCATTTGCAGTGGGTCTGAGCTCAAGCCAAGCCAAACCAAATCCATGGAAGTTGCATGTTGGCAACAGCATGGTTGTCGGTTGATACCAGTCGACATATGATTTTGCACGACGGTGTGGTGTGGCTGGCAACAGTTACAGATCTTTTGCAACAGTGATTGTCAGCAAACATAACAGCATAGCGCTGCCATGTGAGAACAAAAGTTTAATTTCTTTCGAAGAAAAAAAAAACACATTATCGCCGAGGCTGCAAGTAAAAAAAAAAGAAGGTAGATATCGGACGATTCTATCATGGCTTTGTATGCATGAGCACCATTGATTTTATCGTACTGGGATTCATCTGCATTTTTCAACCACTTATGTCCGCACAAAAACAACCTTTTTGTGCAGTAGTTAGTGACAAATTCTGGACCTACTGTTTGAATCGACTAAATCCAAACTGAAGCCTACCATGCAAGGCCACTTTTAACCTCTATAGGTAGTTTATTTATGAACACTTATAAAGAATAGAACACTTTAAACACACTTTCTAGTAGTGTCAGTGAAATGTGAGTGAGGTCCACAGAATTTTAGTTGTAATGATGAAGGGAAGCAAAATGACATAGTCTCACAGTCTGGTCTGCCCCAAAAGACACAAATTGATTTGAGTCTTAAGATGAACAGCTCTACAGTTATCTTCATGCTTGATTAATAATTTCTTCATGTACCTGCCTTTCAAGGTCACCACACAAGGGATTGGGGCCTCATACAGTCTAATCTCGTTAATTCAGGCTCAAGGGGGACTGAGAATTTGTTTGAATAAAGCCAAATATGAATTACCAGAAGTTTCCTCCCATAGAGACGCCTAGGATGGGACGTGCCTGTTGGTTTGAATTACCCGCAAGTTGAATTAAGAGAGTTTGAATTAATGGCATTCGACTGTACGCCAATGCATGCTGTAGAAGTAATTCGGTAATTCATGAAAGCTCGTAAATAGAGAGCTACGTCAGACGCCTCCAAGGGTCGGCGGACGTTGAGTGACTGTCCTCCTCTTGAAATCACCCTCCGCCAGGGACCTGGCCGTCACCTCTCCCAAAGATGTGGAAATTCCGCGGTCCCTCGTCGAAGTGGTGATCCACTGGAATCGCTCCATGCACACCTGGCTTAGACAATGTGAGGCCACTTTTGTATCTGTTGCTTCACATCTCTCGGTCTGGCATTGCTCACGGCGTCCTCGCAAATTTTCAGACGTTTTCAAGGCAACCAGGCCTCTGGGGAACTTCACTGCCATTCTGCTCACCTATGCCGCGAGCTCGCTGCTTCATGTAGGTGCTCGCTCATTGTTGGCTATGGGCATTCATAGCTATTTTTTGAGGTGGAGTTGCTTTGTTTCCCCAAACCAACAACTGAGATATTAAAAGTGGCGTTAAGAAATTTGACTGATTATAGGGAAGCTTTTTTGTATACTGAAGTTTATGATTGAAATGTTTACATTGCTTCTTAGAGTGTGAAGGAAATTTGTTGAACAGTGGGGAAATTAACCTTAAATTTCAGGGGGAGATTTATGGGGCAGAGTTGGACTGTTTTCTTCAATTCTTTACCATAGACTAATGTAAGTGGGATTGGATTGGATCCATTTAAATGGGAGTTTTCTTCGGAAAAAAATTCCTGTCGTGACATCTTATCGACAATGTAAAGGGACAACTGAGAATAAGTTTGGGGAGCACTTCAGTGGAACTCACTATTGAGACAGTACCACTGGAAGAAAATGCTCCAGAATTGCAGCTTTGTCCACTTTTTTAATTGATTTCTTGAATTCCGGCTGTTTAGAGCAAAACTAAACTTTTCTTGTCTGATATTTTGTCACAGGGCATCTAGTATAACCTTATTGCTTCAGTTTTAGAAGAGAGACGACTAGTGAGGGAGTTCAGCAATGTTTTCACGAGGTTGTTGCTCTTTCTGCACGGCTATGATTAAACAGTTGATTAAGAATTAATATTTTCCAGGGCATCAACTTTCAGTTGGCAGCCGTCCTTCTGTCCCTGGGATTTTACACCTATACGGAGTTTGGTGAGTGGCATTTGGCTTTTTTTTTTATTATCGGAAGCAATTGAAATCAATGCCTGGACATTACCCTCGGAATTTTGGACTTGGGAACTCGGTATTTGTGAAGGAAAAAAACAATTTCCAAAAGTCGTATTTGAAGTTCCCACGCGATCAACGCCAGTGCAGTGACGCCAAAGATTGAGTCGTCCTGCAACTCGAGTTTCACTCACGCCTCCGAACGGTCCCTACCTGAAGTATCGTGTTTGCCCACGCCCCGCTGTCAGCCGCTCTTCTCCATGCGTGCCGCCTATCGCTGGGAGCAGACGACGCTTCACTTATGAGTTTGAAGCTGTCTTAGGGCCCTTTCAGCGATCTCAAAGTCTTTGAAACGGTATGAGGTCGAACAGAATGCGCAGTGAACTTTTGTGAGTGACGTGAGCGGCCACGTCGCTCACAAAGTGGAAAGTTCTCAATTTCCCGGGTGGGGGGAGGGGGGGCTGGGCTGGGGGCTGGGGGCTGGGGCCCGACGAAACACCGCCCCTCCCTCCCCCAGAAAGATGCCTCACCAGGTTGCTTATCCTACTAGGATAAGCATGCTGATGGCATGATGCCTAAACAAATGTCTGCTTTTGTGACCCCATAATTTAGCTGTCATTGCAGTTCAGATCAGTGAATTCGGTGGTTCAAGCGCACTGACCGTAATGAATTGTTTCAACGTTTGGGAAAACGAAAAGGGGCTTACAAAACATATTATGTCGTCTACTTCCGCAGCCTGCAGGTCTGCTAGAGGTGCCACTGTTGTCATTCGCAACTACTTCAAGGGAATTTCCAGCGCTAGCCTTTATCGTCTTCGCTAATACTATGTAGGGTCTTCGAACAGGACTGCACGAATAGTTAGAAAAATTTATCCACTCACCAGCTCTAGTCACTTAGTGAAGAAAGCTGGTGAGTGGATAAATTTTTATTTATCCACTGGGTTCAGCTATCGATATGTGCAGGCACCAGGGCGCACAGATGAGATTAATGAGGTGCACCCAGAGGTTCCGGAGGCGATGGTACTTGCTTTTCCGAAGAGTTTGGAAATGGAGGGGGGGTTGGCACTGCCGGTGGGAAACTCTGGCCCCTGACACTACCCCATCTCCGTAGTCGGCGCCTATGCCACGTCGTGCCGGTCCTGCGTGAAAGGAAGGCTGTCCCGAAGGGGTCACAACCGAAACTATGCTACACAGACACCAAACCCACTTGTTTTGACCGTTTGACGATGTCCTTTTCGAAGTCTGAGAGGTCGTCGGGCACCTAAAGCAGAGAACTCCGACCAACTCCCCAACTCGCCGATCATCCTGAGTGCTACATGTGCCGAGCGCCTGCATGTTTTTCGACGGAGGATAAAAAGCCAGGAGGCGACATCACTCCGAACTCAGATTTTCGGTATTTCAAAACTATAGTCGGTTGCATCCTAAGAACGAAGGGCGAGGGTAAGACGGGCCGGAAAGGAGGAAGCAGACAGAATGCTGGAGAAGAGAGGAGGAAACCTCCTTCTCTCTTTAGCGTTCCGTCTGCTTCCTCCTCTCCAGCCCGTCTTACCCTCGCACTTCCTTCTTAGGTTGTAACGGACTATAGTGCATTTGCATTTGCCTTAAGATTATCATAAAATCCCAAGAGATGCCCCACTCTTGAAAGATAGCCCACCCCTATTCTGGCTTGATTTGCTATATCTTTTTTTAAATAATGAAAGATAGCCCACTTCCTGTAATAGTAGTGTTGGGGTCAATGGTGGCCTCGGCGTAAATGTGGCTAGTTAGCTTCAGCGAACGTTGCTGACTGGGAAGTACAGTCCTGCTTCCTTCGTTGCCCCTCGCCACCATACAAGCTTGGAAGGGAAACGACCTAACAATAGCAATTTTTTTTAACTTTACTTGATTGTACACCGAAAGTTGGCCCACTACATATTTTCACCCGATTTGCTCTCGATGTTAGGTGGGCTATCATTCGGGATTTTATGGTACGTGTTCTATGAATGTTGTTATTAAATATTATAGAAATGTCGCTTACAAAGCTTCTAAATTTTATAATCGATTACATCACAAATCAAAGGACTCGAAGTGGTGAGCAGGGTGCCAAAAAGAAAAAAGTGAGCGTACGGGTGGAAAACATTTTTTTCGCATTATGGTATTTTTTAGCGTGTCTATGGCTCCAACTTGCATTTTTTAAAACAACTCCAAAATATACGACCTTTGGTTTGTCAGTGCCCCTTTAAAGGACCCATGCAAAGAAAAAATATATTTTTTTTTAACATCCTGGTTGGGAAAAGGAAGTCATAAAACGAATTTACAACGAAAAAGAAAAATTTTTAGAGCTATATTTACGGCGCGATACAAATTTGTAGTTAGCTCTTTTGGAAGCCTCCTATGGCCTCTAAAAGTAATTTATTCATCTTTGTTTAAAGTATAACAAAAAAACTAAGATTAATAAGTAACATTTAGATGCCAAACGAAACTCCTGAAAAGGCACAAGCAGACGTGATAGACCTATGCGCCGGTCAGATGACGGTGGCGGCTCCCCGGAGCAGACGAACTTGTGCGGTGGCGGCGACGGCGGTGTGGAGAAACGCTTTGAAGTGGCGTCGCACAACACTCAGCGTGCGGCGGCGGCGACGCAGCGCAGCGGCGCACAGGCCTATCATGTGACCAGCAGCGGCTCCTGCGGGTGCCAACTACAAACTCGTTTTGCGCCATAAATATAGCTCTAAATTCTTTTTTCCTTCGTTGTAAATTTGTTTTATAATATTGTTTTTTTCAACTAGCCTGTTAAAAAAAAAAGTTTTTTTCCTTTGCATGTGTCCTTTAAAGCACCCTTGCATGTTGTATGCACTCCACGATAATGTGTTGCTTTGTGACCCCTTCCCCACAGTGCTGCGCCAGAAGCTGGCTACGGTATTTGACGCCTGCATTGGAGCTAGACGCTGCAAACCGCACTGTGACCACCGCTACAAGAGTGTGAGTTTGACTGTGAAGCCTTACTTCCTGAAAAACAACCTTAGACTGATTTTGATATCTGTTGCGTGAGGTCTGACACCTGATGCAACATTTTAATGTAGCGGTGCCGCAGAGTATTTCATAGATTTTTATTTCTTTATTTAATATTGCAGGACACACCATAGTTTTGAGATGCCTTTCGTCTGAGAACTGTGCCATTTTCTGCCCTTGTAATTTATTTATTTCACCACAGGTGTCACTGATTGCAGTATTTGAGACATTAGACCAAATGGTTTATCAGGAAACACTGGTCAATACTTTCTCAAAGATGTATCTGTAAAAGTTTGAGCATATATGAATTGTGGATGTACTCGGAAAGCATTTCGATACAAGTAATAGTTAAATATTATAGTTATAGATGACACCGCCAGTAGTCACGCCCGCATACGCCATCATTGTCTTACTGCCTTTAGCCAGTAGCGTGCAGCAGCAGTGTTTCGTGCACATTGCTAGTCTTGGCTGCATTTCTGCCTATGCAGGCGTGGCTGAAAGCTATCGACAGTGTCTCTTGAAACTCTGGGACAGCCACAAAGCCATCTCGAACAGTTGGAGAGTTTCTGAGGCGACTCTGGATGTATGTCCTGTTCACTCAGCAGGCCCTTTGCCCGAGTTGATTTGCTCCCCTGTGGCATCAAGAGCGTGCCACTGATGCTAAAGTTTGTCCCTGGGGAAAGCTGTCCCATCGTGTGACAAAAAATTTTCAGACCAGAGGACTCTAAGGACTTGACATGCTTAGCTGTAAATTTCTTTACTGTGGGAGCTCTGAAGTTGTACCTATGCTGTGAGTTGTCAACTTTGATGGGAAGAAGACTTCTATAATCTATAGAGAAGAATTTGTAGTATTTATGGCACCCGTTTATTGAGATAAATTTGTTGCCCACAGATCTGCCATCTAGTCCCTGATGTCGAAGTGACAGTGCCGCATTTTCTAAAGCTGATAGTACAATGTGTTACAATGTACAGGGTCGTCAAGATAATACGCATTGATAAAATGAATATTGGCCATTTTCCGTGCTTTGCTCGGTTCGCCGCAACGTCTTCCTGGCTGACAGAGTATCTGAACGTCTTGGCACTGCTGTAAACTTGTGTCTTCTTGTAGCCATACCACGCAATGATTTGCTTAGGCGACTTTCCAGCACGAAGCGATTCAAGTATTGCTGCCCTCCGGTCATATTCCTTGCTCATTTTTGAACAAGTCGCCAATTCTTTATTATGCTATGATCCGCCGTCGAATCATCTGTCCCCAGAAACGCAGCACACCCGGTTAGCTTCACTGTATTGTTGAGGGATGAAATCTTGAAAAAGTCCGGACTTATCTTCACGACCCTGTACTTTGTCTACATAAGTGTTCTGTGCATGTTTTACATTTTATATAGTACCTTACACTGGGTTGAGCATTAAATAAGAAATGTGTGCTGTGCAAAAAAAAAATGTGAACATAGATTTTTTTTAAATTTCTTTTAACGCTTATTTCTTATTCAAAGCTAAATTTTTTGTTTTTTGTTTTTTACTGTGTATAATTATGCCCTTCTTAGAGTGGTAGTCAGGGCGGCCTTACCAGGAGGGCATGTTGATAGCAATATCATTGACCGACACTCTGGAAAAGCCATATGAAGGCAATACAGGCATGGTTTTATGGGGTAGGCGGTATATTTCGACAAATTGTTTTGCATCTTCAGATAGTTTGTAACATGTATGTTTCTTTTTCATTCTGGAATGATCCTCCTTCCTAATAAATTCCTTTATGCACGATGCAGGACCATCCTGCAGTGTTTGGAACAAACCTGTTCTTTGGTCTTCTGAGTGTTTTCCACCTGGCCTACCTTGGAGTCATGTTTGATGCAGCACCACAGCTCCAGGAACAGGCAAGTTTGCATTCCTCGAACTTGCTGCCCCATTTATCGCCAATACTTGTATAGATAATGCAATCTTTAGCAGTGGTGCATTTTTTAGTGCTTTCATTTTTGTTTTCCAACAAATAAAAATTTAACAGAAAGTAAGAGTGAGCCATCTTTTAGGGGCGTGCTGTCTTTTTTTACACTACACATACTTGTAACCTGTAAGCAAATCTCAGTTTTCTAGAGATTGCTGTGCCAAATCTTTTGTTTGGGGGGTGTCTTGAAATTTTCGGTAGTACATTGAGAAGAGGGGCCTACACAACGATTTTTATTCTTTGGCAGAATAGTGCAAATAAAATTAAGTAATTTGCATTTATTAAAATCCAAAGAATGTCCCTTTTTCTACATATTAGCTGTTTTGTATTTTGTTTTTTCAAGACAATTCTAAACACTTTTGTCAGTGTGCTGTCGGATTACCCTGAAGATGTGCAGATTATATTTTAAGCTGTCGGGGAAATCTGTACAGGACTGCTCTTGTGCACATTGCGCATACAGTGGCACAGGGCATGGCATGCCGATTACTGTCATTGGAAGACCGCTGGAGACGGCCACATGGAAGTATTTTGCTTTCTTCGGATCAACTCCTGCGAACCTTTTGGTTCGCAGGAGTTGCGAACCAAAAGCATACGTTTTTCAGATGTAAACTAAACCGCAACCGAAACATTATATTAGCAACTTCACGGTATGTCTTCTCTGATAGAAGCCAACAAGGACGTAATTTCAGATACTACTTAGTTTTGTGTGTCATCCTAAACTAGCAAACCTGCCGACTCCGGTCATGTGCCATTCAGATTGCATCACCATGTGCCTGGCGCAACTATGCTCACTATATGTGTGATGTTCCAGCTGTGCTTTTTACCGGGTGTTCCTTCATTTTCTTGATTGGTGCAAGACACCACTAGGAACAAAAGTTCAGGTGTTCATAAGCTTTTTCAAGCATGTTGTTGTTGTTTAACAAATTCCTCTAAAAAGGATAATTAAATATGCAGGTACAGTGTTTCATTGCTAGCTACACTAGATTTTAATTTTTCTGTTTTATTTTTATGTTTCATTTTCTTTTCTTATTTCCAAATGCTTGTGCCCCATTGCAAAGAATTCTGAATGTCTACTGGCACCACAACATACTACTAATGTTGCTGGTGGTCCTCTTTACAACAGGTAAAGGTTTCAAGTGTCTAAGCCCCCCGGCAGTCTTGTCGCACTTTGTTTTCATCCCTGGTTCCACTCTAATTCATAGCCCCAGCTGACTGTGACATATTCTTTTCTTACGCAGGGCTACAGTATGTCACACACACTCAGCAAGTGGTCGGAGTTGAAGTTTGCAAGTCACTGGGTGGCGCTGGCCACTTTCCTCTTCTACCTCTTGGTCTGACTGAGCCAGGCACCACGACCAGCCAGCTCCGTGCCTAGAATATGCACGAGGAGTGAACGACCGCTGATCGATCCGACCACTGTCATCCGATGCCAAAAACGGAAGCATTTACACCTTCACGTCAGTCACTGAGGTGCTTTAGGTCACAAAGTAGCATTCCTCTCTCTATTGTGCTCTACACTCATTTCGCACTTGCTTTTATGCAACCTTATGGAGTGCTCAACTACAGTCTATTGCTCATGCTTTCTTCTTAGTAGTAGGTGTTTTTAATGCACTCCTCGCATTCCTTCTGATTTTATCCTGCGATTTCTTTTATATTTATGTATCAATATTCAGTTTTTGTGGGGCCTCTGGTTTAGTGTTCAGAGGCTGCTACTACTGCTTTTCTTGCTGTGATATCCTACCAATGAACACGTTTTACTTTTGTTGACAGAACTAGGTTTTTTAGATGTAAGTCAAAGTACATGTGAGAAGAGGTTGACAAACTGCAAGCTCAATCATGTCAGTACCACATGCAGCTGTTTGACTGTTAGTGCCATAATGCATGTTTTGGATCGAGACATTTACACCAGAGATGCCCCAGTCTGTACACATTCCGAAAATAAAGTTCCAATGTTAGCCTCTCGCAGCCCACCTTAACTAAGCATGGCATACATGAGCGCAGAATAAAAAATATGTATGTTAGTACATTTTGTGGACCAACATGCACCATCCATGCATGTTGGTAAGCTCGGACCTTTTATTCCAAATGAGGACTGGTTATCAGTTAGCTCATAACCACAACGTTTGCCTCGGCACAGACTGTTTAACTTTGAGGCCGAACTACTTAGCCATCGTCAAGCGACCAATGGTTTAGGCTTATGAGCATAGAAGTTGTTTCTGTAGATCCTATAGGAGTGGCTTAAAAAATTTAACACAAAAAGAGGGGGGGGGGGGGGGGTGCAAGAAAATCTGTAAAGTAAACATATTAAGGAGACCGAAGACTGTTTTTGAAGATGAAGATAAAACAAACAAGGACAAGGGTTGAAAGTGGACCGAATCTCTTGCCGATTTCTAAATAATTGGAACTTCGAATAATTTTACATTGTAGCATTTGGCACGCGGACATCCTAGGACTAGGTGATACCAGAAACATTGTTTTCTCTATTAAGAACAAAAAAAAAAGAAAATTGGGCTCTTGAATGAAGTTTGAAGAGTTTTTGTGGCAAGGGAACATTTGGCGTGGGATGGGAAGAGGTTGCAGCTAAAGGCCCTCTTTTATCTATATTTTCGCTCTCCCACATATCAGTACAAAAATACAGAATTGGGGAACAGACAAACTGAAATGCGTGGTGCTACGTCTCATCTATAAAAAGGTAAAACAATGCTAGTATAGATGGACGCACGGAACAGATTTCACACAACTGTCCCTCTCAATTCAAAAGGAAAACCCGGAGACCATGATGGCATCCAGCCATTCGAACTATGCAGAACTTGTCTTTGCTAAACCTGTTCCATCGATTAAAGCTGTGCGCGCTCCCTCCTCCTTTTTTCGGAAATGTCCCGAAGGTTGAGAGGGACAATCAAAAAATTTGATTGTGATACGTACCTTAAATATATTACCACAATTTGAGTCGGCTATTTCCAGAATATTATTACCTTGAAATGGACAGTTTGTCTCCAATTTTTACAGCGGAGCTGCTAAAGGGATACTTCAACGAAATTTGAAATTTATTCATCGTGTTCAAAAATAGGTTGAATATGATCCACAGCATCCATAAATGACAATCGTACGTTTGTATTTTGAGCCTGGTGACTGTATTTTTTGTTATAAACGGCCAACTCTGGCAAGCGCTCTGAGAAGGCCCAGCTTAGAGCACGTGACATCCGACACAATCATGACGTAGGTCGTCTCGGGACGAGCAAAGCTACGGCGAGGCTGACGTCGAGGGGATGGCCTAGTCGTTCCAGCCATTGGAGCGGCTGCTTTCGTACGAATTTTGAGTGTCGGGTTAATCTTCTGTAATCTTGTAGGGGGACAATAGCTACTTCTGGAACACACAAAAGGGATTCTCGGGAAGACGGGAGTTCCTCCTTCCCCTCTTCTCTCGTCGTGGCTGGAGGCGAGAAACTCACCGTCACTAGCTGTCAAGGTTCCTAGACTGGCATTACAAACGAGACGTTAGCGACATCCACCAGGTGCTCTTTGCTGATTGTTTAATTCGTTTTAAAATTCCTTTTTGTGACTTTTTAAACAAGATATTGGTGTGTTCGATGTGATACTGCACCTTTGAACACATATTGTGGGAACCATTGGGTTCCCTCTATCCCTATCTAGGCCTAGCTTCAAGCAGGCCGTGGGAGTCGTCGTCACCAATGGCGTCGGCCTCCCGGATACAAGGAACCACGAGGCCGAATTCCCCGAAGGGGCCGGTTCTCCCTTGCCCTTTTGGGTGAACGCGCCATCGGCACACCCTTGGGAGTGATTATGGACGCGTCCCGTTTTCGAGTGACCTTCTACCGGCCTCCCCGGGCGCGTCTATTTCCCGCAGGCTACATAAGCCGGCCACCCACCTGTGGCCGGGGCTCTTGGTTAGGGGGGGCTACGCTCGACGGAGTATTCATCGTTATTTTACTGCTCCCCCTTTTCCGTGATCCTGCCAGTTCCGGCAGCGCGGACCTTTCTCCTGGTGATCCTGTCAATTAAGGCAGCGCCAACCTCATTTTTCTTTTGTTCCGCCTACGGGCGCAAAGCGTGTGGCGTAAGCCCAATAAACACGTTTCTACGGTATCCCTGTGTTTGGTGTGGTCTCCCGTCCACCGGAGCCTAACGGCAGTCAACGGACGGACCCGGCCGTAGCCGCCATAACAGCGACCTACGGAGTGGGTGTTGCCTCACAGCGATCAGCAAGGTAAGTCGAAACCCGCTTTATTGCAACCGACGAGTTAAGTAGTGGGTATTTGCCTCACTGAGGACTTTGGGGTAAACTAGAATCCCACAACTGGCGCCCAACGTGGGGCCCGAACCCACGACCCTGAGATTAAGAGTCTCATGCTCTACCGACTGAGCTAGCCGGGCCAGTGCGACGCACGTGACTCACGGCAGAAAAGACATCTTTGTCTCTGCCTCTTTTTATCTCTGGGGCCTTGTGCACCCAGAGATTGGTCGAGTGTCCTCAGTTGGACGGCTCCACCTTGCTCGGAATTTCCGAAGCTTCCTTCTTGGGGAACGAAACGGGAGAGGGGGGCAGAGCGCAGGCGGCATTCCAGTTCCCGGCGGTTCCCGGGTCATGGTTCCACACCGAAGCGGCATTGACGCCAGGGAGCGTCATCGTCGCCGTCCCCGGCCTGCCTGTCCAGATCCGGCTCCTCGGCTGCTGGCCAAGATGGCGGCAGCCACCCTCCCCCTGCCTGGACTCGTCCCCAGGCCAGCAACACGTGGCATCTCGTCGCAGACCCAAGCTGTGGACCCGTGCCGACAGCAAGCAGCTCGCATCCGCGTCACGGACCCGGTGACAGTGCCCGTGCCACTTGGTGCGTCCCCCAGGAGAGACGCCCAGCCGCCGTACTTTCTGTGACCCTTCGAACATTTCGTCATGGGGTGTCCGGGCCGTCCTTCCTGCGCAAGCCAGGCCACTACACGGACATTGCAACGCTACTCCCGGTAAGCCTGCCAAGAAGCGTGGGCTGCAGAGTTCGGCTGCACCCGGGGTCCACTGTCAAGCAGCGAGCTAGAGTTTTCAGCATGTACCGCGCTGATCGTTTTTTTATTTCTTTGTTTTTCTTCGCGGCATGCTCTTTCGCTCTAGCGTTTCGTTTTTTTTTATTTTGTTTTTGAGAGCCGGTAGGCCATTTTATTTTTAGGCCTACCTTAGCCTTGAGAAGGGGGGAGTGTGGGAACCATTGGGTTCCCCCTATCCCTATCCAGGCCTAGCTTCAAGCAGGCCGTGGGAGTCGTCGTCACCAATGGCGTCGGCCTCCCGGATACAAGGAACCACGAGGCCGAATTCCCCGAAGGGGCCGGCTCTCCCTTGCCCATTTGGGTGAACGCGCCTTCGGCACACCCTTGAGAGCTATGATGGACGCGACTGCTAGTGGCCTCCCCGAGCGCGTCCATTCTCCGAGGCTACATAAGCTGGCCCCGAAGGTGGGCCAGAGGCTCTCGTCGGCGGAGGCCCTGGCTCTACGGAGCTCGGTTTTTCTTTGTGGGCCTCCGACTTCCCGTGAATCTGTCTAATGCGGCAGCGCGGGAAACCGACCGGGTGATACTGGCAATTGAGCCAGCGCCCAGACTTTTCATTGTCTAAGAGCGAAGCGTGCTGACATTGCAGTCAATAAACACGTCTTTATCCGGACCCATGGAACCTTTCTGTGTTTCTAAGTGGTAACACCCCAAAAGGGCGAATTCCCACAATATAGACCATAAAATAAGTGCCGAAATTTCGTTGTAGTATCCCTTTAAGGGCTATACTCTATTTCACCTTACGATGTACCGCAGGAAAGGCTACAAGCGCGTGCACCTTGCTCTAGAGCACACCTCGGCAGCTTGTGGGCTTGTGCATTAGGGGCAGCTGTCAACGCTATGTGCTCGAGCTTCTAGCCTGCGCTGCAGTACAACATAAGGTGAAACAAAGTATAGTTTCCCCAGGATTGTGTCCCCCGCAAAGAAATGGCACTGAACTCTGGACACCTACTGCCATCTATGAGCGACGACAGCAATCCACATATCTGGTTGCCGCCGTCGCTCAAAGGTGGCGGCAGCCTTTCCACGCTGGCTTGCCGACTTGCGGCCGGCCATTACTTTCCATTGTACAGCTCCGCTGGTCTTCCTTCTTCACCAGAGTGGGAAAGTTGAAAGTCTTTTAATACTTGTGTACACTATTCCTTTGAAGTGCCATGTAGATAGAAGGCTAAAATCATAGTAGTGTTAAAAAATAATAAGATAGCGGACTCGTATTGCACTGAGAGTTCGGACACTTATAAGACTATTAATGAAGTTAACGGAGCAGAGGCACAAACCGTGAGATGAGATGCCGGATGCTGAACCTTCAGGTTTGAAGCTAAAAATAGACAAGGCAGAAACAGTTTTCAAACCAACGTCACTAAAGTGTAGCTGTCATAGAAAATTAACTGCGAAGTAATTGCATTGCTTGGAACTTCCAGCGTGTCGGCGTAACAGCGAGCTCGCCTTTGCTGAAGGCGTAACGTCCGTCCATGGTGGTGAAATAGGGTGCAGAAATAATTGAGGAGCAAACCCTAATAGACCTTTCGCTAAATTACCCAAGCATCAATGAGAATGTTAGGAGCGTACAAAATAAAGCATCAGTGGAACGCGCGTGCGAAGTGCCGTTTGTTTTAAATTTTTGCTTTTGAACAGTTAGAGCTGAAGACACCAGCACGCCCAGCGCGTTTATTTATGTTCCCGGCATTCTTTTTGATGCTTGGGTAATTTGGCAAAAGGTCTATTGCTTCTCGTGTGTTTTCATGAGCCCTCGTGCACGGGCAACTGTGGCCAGCCTTCGACACCAGGAGCCATGGAGTGATGTTACTGGGCCGAAACAACCCGCTTGTAGGCACCCTATATGGAAATCGAAAAATGCCATCTCGGGAAGCCCCTTGTGGCTTCTGACCAATAGGAAGTGGATTGCCAACTGGAGTAACTGTAATGCATTTCTACAGTACCATGCGATCCTTAGTAGGATCAACTTAGGAGCTCCGACGGTTTTACAAGCTACTTAAATTAAACGCGTTTTCGTAATACCAACCATGCTCTGCTCTTCCCGACATGCGATTTGTGGCCTCTAAATTCAACATAACTATGCGGAGTGCGAGTTCGTCTGCTTCCTGCACGGCGTTGCGACGGTGTCAGAACGCCAAGCTCTTATTAGCTCATTGAAAAATGTAGTGGGTAGACTTCGAGGCACCTAGCATTGAGCTCTACGCACTGTTCTTTCAATCAAAGCCTGTCACAGCTCCGCATCGTTCTGGCGTCACCGCGACCCCTGCGCAAAAAGCAGACGAACTCGCGCTCCGCATTGAGAAAACGGCAAAAAATATTATGCCAAAAAACAAACATTAACATTTTCTTGCGCTGTCGAAGTGGGGTGAAGTCGCATGTATAACGTGCCAGTCGAGCAGGACATTATTTTGCGCTTTAATTTTTAGTTTTGCTTTCGTGAGCTTCGCAAGCATTCGTTTCCCAACATCAGCCTTCTTTTAGTCCTTCGGGAACAATTTATGAACCTCTCCCTTGTTACAACAATTGACGTCACGTTTTCAATCGAAATTCGACTTCGTGCCGATTTGTGTGCCGATTATTAAGAGGTCGGAACCCCTGCACAATGGCGGAACGGCTGACATCGTGGAACGCGCAAGTCATAAGCGAACGTCGGAGCGCGGCCAACGGTAGGAGCCGACGAGTCAATTAAACAGCGACGAAAGTGCAACGTCACTGCGCTCGTCACCTTTTTCTGTTGGTGTGCTTTTCTTTATAGTCCGCGGACTATACATGTTTAAAAGTTGAAATTTCTGGCTGTGCGGACTATCTACGCGTGCGGACTATACAGGAATTATATTTTTCAATATCGTCGATTATGACGAGACGGGACGGATTTTGTGAATAAAAGAGTATGTTATTGATAATTTATGTATATTATAGGCTTTTTTGAGAGCCAAGAAAACATACATATGTCAAGGTGTGCCACGTTTGAGAAGAATTTCGTGTCGACTAAGCACCATGTGCGGACTATGCACTGGGTGCGGACTATGCAGCGGGTGCGGACTATCTAAGCAAAAACTTTCATTTTTGACCCCAAATTTGCCTCTGCGGACTATACGCCGGGTGCGGACTATAGTCCGGAAAATACGGTACTCCAACCAAGCGCATAAAGTGTGCCTTGACGTTGCGGTTTCAGTCCGCCATTGTGCAGGAATTCCACAGCTGCCAACAGAGGGTAAGATTTCGAAAGGGGCCTCTTGGCCCTTCGGACCAAATTTTAAAATTCACTGACTTCGTACAAACATTACTATGACTCGTCATTTCGCTTAATAGTTTGGGTGTTTATATTAATCTGCTTAACCAGTCTTGAGGCAAATCAGTGATTATCAACATTTCGCCGGACTCCCTTTCAATCGATGGGCGGCCGCAAACAAAGTTGATCGCAAGTAGAAGAAAATTTCCGTATTGATTTCGTAGAACATAGCGCATATACTGGAAAACAAAAATTGGTAAACATTTACGCTACCCGTAAGGTGAGACACTGCGACGGCTGAGGTGTGATGTCGTAGCTGAAGGTGTCGTTCCGGAGCAGATGGACTGAATGAACGGTAATTGAAACCAAGTAACACTCCAGACGAAACTTCCATAGCGTTTTGGAACCAATGAGGTTGTATTAAGTAGAGAGCATTTCGCGATCTTGTTAACCAGTTTTATTGGACACAAAACTAGGGCTGCCTCGCGGTAAGTAAAGAACACTTCTAAAATCGCGCGCCCTAGTTTGAAATCCAGGGAACGACGAAACTGCATGTGTATATGCATGCAGTTTCGTCCAGGCAGCCACACCGCGCTGTCGTCGGTGTGGCTGGCCGTACGTCTTACGCAATGTTAATGGGCACAAACTAACACCGCCTTATGGTCACCGAAAAACACTTCCAGAATCGAGCACTCGAGTTTCAAGCGTGTAGATCCACCTAACTACACGCCCGTGGTTTGTTTGCACTTGCGGATTCGCGGGCCGGTTCGCGCCGGCGGCGCTGGCGGAAAATCTGGATGTGGGTTCCGGTCCGATTCAGATTTCCCGCCAGTGACGAGCGGATTTCGCCACCTGGCTCCAAAATCAGCTCGCCGCTGGCGCTAATCGGCCCGCGAATTCGCAACTGTAAGCTCACCATTACGCCCACCTAACTTTATTCGTGTTATCGCCCTAGAACCTTTCTGGCATAATTGGCGAAAACGCTTTATTTTTGTTTGTTACCATTATCAGCAGTCTCGTGTTAATGTTTGTACGTGCCGGCATGGTGTCACGTGACTCACGTTGTTACCTGACGTCATTAAGTCGCGTGGCGTCATCGTGCAACGTGATTTGACATGACAATTTTCATCTTCGATCAACCCGCACCAGAACTTCCCCGAAATCAGGACAGTGCACTGCGCTCCTCTGTCGCGCAGCGCGAAGTCGACATCGAGGACAACTGCGCCGCGCCGATGCACGCGTCACCTCTCGCGTTTTGTTCGTTTTTTCTCGCGTACGTCCGTGCGCGGTGCCCGTCTGCTCTCGATTTCGCCCGGTTTTGTACTCGCAGATTTAGAGGTCACGCACAAACGAACATCTTGGACGGGATTGGATGCTCACTGTACTTGGTACTAAGATAAATAAAATAAATACTAAATCACACCGAAACTATACACTGGGTTAAGGTCCGAATATCTCATCATAGCTATTTAAGGTGGAAGGTTGCACACTTGCAAAATTCTTTTATCTGCTGTTTTTCTTCAAATGGCCTTCGAGTACTAAACTTCGCTTGGGACGGAGCGCCAAAGCTCAGTGGCTCTGGCGCTTTCCACGAAGTTCATAACTTTCGGGCGCCCTTTGCCAACGCAGCAATCACCCGTAATCGCGGCGATGGTCTGAAGCTCGTCGTCTTTGCTGTCAGAAGAGTTGAGGAATTCATCGAGTGCCGCCACGAGGCGTGTTCGTTTTTGCATGGTCGCCATCTGGATAGACTGCGCCCCTGCTATTACCGCCATCTCGATTCACGCTCCTGGCCGCAATGCCTGATGGGTCTGGACCCCGGTGCACCGTTTATCTTCTGGTGCGCACTGGGGCAACGAAAAGCCGCACCTGGAGGGTGCGCTCCGTTGATCGAGGACGTCCGGTGCGCACCGGTGCACTTGATCGAAGACAAAGGGGCGCACCTCGGTGACCCGGTGCGGTGCGCACCGGCGCGGATGATCGAGGATGCTAAATGTCATATGATGGTGACAGCTGACGCCAGGTAACAGGTGACGTGATGTGCAGCGTGACGTCCGAGTCGTGTCGAGCGGCGTGACGTCCACGTGGAATCTTTTGGCGGAGTGCCGAAAGTGTCCAAGCGTCGATATGGAGCGCGGTCGCCGGCGCAAAACCCGCAAAGTTTCCCACTAACTGCTATCGCACGCAGTAAAATCTGCGTGCGACAAGTGGTGATTCCATCGAGGTGATTATATGCCATCGAACTGGTGTTTGGAAGCGAGCAATTAATTAGGAATACCCACCAGCACTGCGAATTGACCGTGCCAGCGAAAGAGAACCTAAAAGAGCTAACGCCAACCGTTGAAACTCTAACCCTGTGCATTGAGTCTCATTTCGGCCGTTTCACATTTCGGCGCCAGTACGCGCCGATTTTCGCTGCGATGGTAGCTTGCCAATCCTTCATTTCATACCGCTGAGTGAGTGGCGTCGCCCTGTTTAGAGTCGCGAATGGACCGTTACCATAATCGTCTCCTGCGTGCTTCCGTCTTCGTTTACTGGGCTGTGGAACGAGTTCTGGGTACTGACTTTCTTCCGCGAATTAAAACGCAGCGCAAGCGTCGTTCAAGACAACATGCTCGTTTTTGTAACTTCAGCTTTGCTGGTATGTATGGTCAAACACAGTAGCGGTGATTATATAGCAGGCAATCGCGTCACCAAAGGGAACGAAAATTAAATTCCATAACGAAAACACTCGAGACTGGGTAAAGATAAAATAACGGACAAATACACACACCGTCTCGAAACACAGCTATTCAGTTTATTTCGCGTCGTCACTTTTATACATGCATCCACCCTCCTCGCCCCCCCCCCCCCCCCCCCGAGTGTTTCATCCCTCCTCGCAGCAAGACACCAAATAACAGAAAGGCATACTGCCACCGGCTGACCGCAGCCCACAAGCATAGCCCACAAAACGATGCACCCTCACTACCCCTAATATTTCACTGAATCACATTCGTCATCTGCAGAAACCTTTTCATCTCTCTATTCAACAATAAAGACAACTTACTTATACAATTTCTACAGCTAGCAATCTGCATAATTCTCTTCCCACTTCGCCTATTGCATTCTTCTTCTTTTTTACGACACTCGTTTTCTCCCAAATCGGCTTGCACCCGTTACACTCTTCAACATGTTTTGCTAGATGTGATGTTTGTGCCTTGTTTTCCACTGCCCTTTTATGCTTAAAAATTTTGTAATTTAAGCAGCGACTTGTCTGCCCAATATGAGAAAACTCACACTCCGAATGAATACCGTATACAACACCTTCTTCACACACAAAAAAAAAATAATAATAATAAATTAAAAAAAAACGCTGGATTCTTATGTTTTATCGGAAACTTGACGAACACTGGAAAGACTTGTTAAAAATTATAGCTTATGCTGTGTCCTGAATACGAGAGATACGCCGAATTGAGTCGCGACTGCCTTGAGGTCGTGCGAAATCCTATGTTAATAAGGCACCGAAACCACATTTTGTTTGTTTATTTGTTTATTATTTTCAGTGACCCACCAACAGCTTGACGCCTCCTTAGTGGTGCACTTATTCCTTCAGAAATACAACGCTAAACAGGATAAAAGCGAAACGTTAGGAAAGAGCAATAGCCTCAACACATTGTCGAAATTTACGCTTTTCATCAAATATATCAAGGCTAGCATTCGCACAAATCTGTTCTAAATGGTTATAAGTCAGTTGTAGGCGTGTTATGGGTGCAGCATGATAAAAGTCGATAGGATAAAACAAAGTATAAAGTCTACAAGACTGACGAGGAACGTGCAAATAGATGTGACTGAGTAGTTCTGGGGAATCAATTATACCATTTACAATCTTATACAAATATGTCAGTTCACGAATTGTTCTCCTGTTGTGCAACGAGTCTAACTTCACGAGTTCACAAATCCTCTCATAACTATAGAAATAATTCGGTTGAAAATAACGATCAAACAAAACACGAACAAACCCACGTTGAACTCTCTCAATTAAACCTGAATTTGTCACTCCAATACAGTTCCAGACAACTGAGGCATATTCAACACGACTACGCACCAGTGAAGAAAACAAACGTAAAATACAAAGTGGTTTAGAAAAATCGCGTGTCACTCGTGTAATGGCTCCCAGCACTCGAAAGGAAGCAGTCGTAATTGTGGTCACGTGATGGTTGAAATTGATTGCAGGATCCATAAAAACGCCTAGATCACGGATGACCTCAACGCGAGTAATATTGGTGGAATCTAATACACAGGGAAAACTCAGAATTTCACGCTTCCTAGAAAAGGACATAACTTTCGTCTTTGACTCATTTAAGAGTAGGTCATTTGAAAAACACCACGCCGAAATAGAATCTATATCGCGCTGAAGACATTCACAATCGTCAACCGTTTTAACCGCTGTAAACAACTTAATATCATCAGAAATAACAAAAACCGCGTGTGTTTAATACAGGAAGTTAGATCATTAATTTACAAAAACCAAAAACAGCAGAGGACCGAGGTTACTGCCTTGAGGAACCCCAGAAGTAGATAAAAAAGGAGCAGATAATCGGCCGGATACTCGCACAAAGTTCAGCCGATGAGATAAGTAACTATCGAGGAGACGACAGTACTTAAGGGACAGACCGTAACTACAGAGTTTACTCAACAGTAATCGGTGATTAACTTTGTCAAAAGCTTTGCTCATATCAAAGTAGACTACATCCGCTTGTCCTCCGCTATGGACAGATGGTACAATATGATGTAGGAAGGAACACAGGTTTCTTTCTGTGGAACGGCCTTTCATGAAACCATGTTACGCAGGAATAATCTTCCGACAAAAATATGCGTAAAGGCGGGTGTGCAAAACAATTTCATAAACTTTAGAAAAACTACAAAGGAGGGAGACTGGCCTATAGTTGTTAACCATGGATCGATCACCCGATTTATGTAATGGAACAACAACAGAGCGCTTCCAAGCGGTAGGAAATGTTTCAGATGCAAGTGATAAGTTAAAGATATGAACCAAAACTGGACAAAGGAGTGGAGCACAACCTTTTACTATGAAGCTGGGAATTCCATCTATTCCCGTAGATAACTTTGGTTTCAATTTTTTAATTGCCTCCAAGACTTCAGATTCATTAATTGGAGCAACAGTAAAAAAATCCAGGCGGTTTATATTCGAGCTAGGCATTAGGCCATTATTTGTACTGAAAGAAGCACTAAAGTGGCGCGCAAAAAGATTAGCTACATCAACAGGGTCAGAGACGCAATCCTCATTATCTCGCAATCTGATCGTGGTAACATTCTCTTTGATGCTCTCTTTGACAAACTTCCACATACACTGTG